ATTACGAATCATTTATCCCCTAAATATTTGTGGTATATTTTTGAGTAAATTTTCGTCAACAATACTCAGTGAAGTGTCAGCTGAAGACCAATCCTCAATTTCAATCAAACTTCTAGAATAGCCATTGTTCATAAATCCAGCCCCCATCTTATGACAAGCGAGATGTTCCTAAGCAGTCACAAAGAAATGGATTTGAATTGAACAAAGCGGATAATCAGTGAAATGCCATTCAGGGAGAAGAGTCGCTGAAGAGCGAAGGCGATGAGACTAAAGGCTCGATGCGAACTGTACGTCTTGACGTGACTAGTCAAGAGAGTGTGCAAAAAGCTGTCGTTTTCACCGAAATGCACCTTTCCGGTGGTCTTCGTGAGTACTCCAAATTAATTCCTTTAATGTCCCCTTATTCAACCCCGAGGAACTGTCAACCGCCAAATGCAATCGAAAAAATGCATCGGCAGTTAACATCTTAAACTATTTCGAAGCAGTTCAGGAAATGGCTGAAGTCACAACATCATAAATGAATATGATCTGCTCTAATTCAGTGATCTCAGCATACTGTAAAAATGGGAAAAAAGTTGAAGTGGCGGAAAGCAAAAATACATTTGCGCGAAATTGACTTGCCAAATCGCACGTTATTACTTGAAATTGATATCCGCTTTCGTCATAACTCACCCAATGGTGTGCGCACATTCATATTTGATTGATGTCTAGTTTTACAAGAGGACAAGACCGTAGAAACCTGCTCACATAATAATATTATGCCCCATGCAATTCTTCCCAATTGCAGAACTCTGGGCACTTGTCAATAACGCTGGCTTCTTTGCGTTGAACGGTCCCGATGACTGGTGCTCACTTGAAGACTATGATCAATCGTTGAAAGTCAATACGCTCGGCCATATTCGAGTTGTGCATGTGAGTCAATACTGCATCAAAATACTGCCCCAATCGGATCGAAGTTAACGAACCCTACTTACCCTACATACCATAATATTGCACATCATGTTCACTCAGCATTTCAAAATTTCATGTTTTGTTTATCAGTAATATTTTCGATGTTATGTCATCACCAAAATGCGATTTTCAGGCATTCAGGCATTTACTGGAACGTTCTAAAGGTCGTATCGTGACCGTGACGAGTGCCACAACTCGTTTACCGTTAGCCGGAGCTTGCGCCTATACGGTCGCTCAGTCTGCAATCGAGGCTTACACGAACGCACTCAGGTGAGCCTCGTACAATCTGTTCATGTTTGAATCTGGATTCTCCAGAAATATATTATTAGATTGATATAAAAAATGACAATAATCGCAATATATTAGCAACCGTGTTGATTGCAAGCATGCTAATGGCAAACAAAACGCAAAAAATCCCGAATGAATTAAACTCCAGACACGAAGTCCGACCATTCGGTATCACTTGCCACATTATTGAACTTGGCATATTCCGTACGGACTTCATTGATTCCGCCTCACTGAAGGCACGACTGAATACATCCTGGGAGAAACTGACGCACAAGAAGAAAGCGAAGTATGGTGAAGAGTTCAAGGATGACTGTGAGTTTCAGCTGAATTTCTCTTGATAACCTTGAAGAACGATTATGTTCTGATTAATTCCACTCCAAGTTATCTACTATTATCACTTTTGTTATTATCAC